TAAGAATTTTCAGACAGGATCTGGCATCCAGGGCTAGATCTTATCTATCTGGTGTGGAGAGTGTGTTTTAACATTCATGGTAAAGTTGGCAGGATGGAATAATGAAACTACGGATCTGTTATCTCCATAAGAGTAGAGTCCAGATGCTTCCCACATGATCAGATGGTGAAGTGTCTCAGTCCAATTGGGCTTCTGACTCTGGAGTCATACATAAGGAAGAAGTGGAAGACTCTCCTGCAGTCGTCCTGAAGTTTGCAAAAAGTGCAACCCAATTATGAACTGCTTGACATTTTATGAAAATTTGGTACTAAGGGTAGCTTAGCTTCTGGGTCAGTTGATGTCCACTCCTAAATTCATGGAGGAGTCAGATGTAAAGCTAGATTACAATTTAAATTTTGAACGAACATCTGACAGAGCACTTTGAAGGTCAAGGAAGCAGAACAAGAAGTTGTTGAAATATCAGTGCTGTGAGTTGTTTTTGGGTTTTGACAATGTAACTGCTCTTTCAACAACATTAGACAAATAAGCAAATTGTTTCTGGAAACATCCGTATTTGTGAATATTTGCTGTGAGGATTTTAAAAAACATCTGTTGCTGGAACTATTTAAGAGGCGAGATACTTTTGTAGATAAGGTGGTAGTTGAATTCTAAGCTATGCAAAGGAAATGCAGCTTTTGAGTTATTTTCTACAGTTTGTAAAAAGTACTCAAAAAAGTTTTAACAGCAACAAGTTTTTGCGCTGTTCATACAGACAGATAGTCGATTTTGCTTTGTAAAGGAGAAAGAGAGGGTTTAATTTAACTACTTGCTTGTTTGTACAATACAAATGCACTGAGTTGCGTTATTTTAAATTGAGCAGAAAGCTGTGTGACACTAAAAAATGGTTCTCAATGTAAAAATGCCAGACATTTTCTTAGGAGAAGTAAGCTGTCAAGTCTAGTTTGTTAAGTCTGAACTAATGAAAAATAAACTTTGCGCAATTTGGCATTCTAAATTCCAATTTGATTTTCTAGAGTATTCATATTTTGGAGACAAGGTCAAAAAAAAGTCTGGTTGAGCATTACTAAAGACTAAATGTCATAGTTTCAAAGTTGATTTGGCTGATTTGGCTCTACAATGTGAGTTAGTAAACATCTTGATAGGTTGCCATTATGCCTTTAGAGTTGTGCAGGACTTATGAGCAGGTTGCCACCAGAGAGGCTTTCTCACAAACTCAGGTGAAACTAAAGGAAGAACCCTTGCTGACCAGGCAGCTGCGGTTGACACTGCATGAATGGCAGAAATCTTCTGAAAAGAAAACTGTTCAGGCATGTCATCTGTGCATTGAAACGCCACACTCAAAAATCACAGACAAAGCTGAAATGCTAAATATGTGAATTTAAACTGCATCTAAATTATTAGACTGAAAAACCTCCAAACATTGCTTCCTTATCTGGTTGCACAAATTCACAGTGTGTCGGACCCTTTTTAAAGTTGTTTCTGTTTATAGACAAAGGAATTTTTAAGATATGCAGTTAAATTTAATTCATTTGTAAAATACTGCACCCTCAGGACTGTTTTGTGAATCTGAAATGTTTTTTTTACATGACCTTTAACAGCAAATATTACATAGATGTTTTGGTTATAATTGCTACAGTTTTAAAGTTAAAAAGACACAGCTGTTTTTATGTATGATACTGGTTTGAGGCATCATTATCAGATGAGGAATGCCACGCATTATTGATTCTGTATAGTAGACAGACTTTAATGGTCACGATTGTCAGGAAGTCTGTGGACTGCTGTGGACAAAGCCTATAGCTAACATTTGTTTGAGAATTCTGGCTTAGGAAATTATTCAAGATTAGGATAACACAAATTAGACATTAGGTCATAATTTTAAAATTTAAACGAGACTGGCGAAATGGTGTATGATGAAGTTTTAAGGAAGACCCTTGTCTTCTAGTGACTTGGTGACCAACCTCATGATGAAGATACGGTGGGTGAGGGGGCTACAATAATTAGCTTACACAAGACTACAGTTTAGTCGCCAGCAAAGGTCTCTATGGTCTTTGTTTATTTTCATATACTGGAAACTAGGTTGTACTGAAGTCAAAACAATTTCAATAAATTTTTAATAATCTTGTTTTTTTTAAAAGAACAGACTCTGCTTTTCGTTCTCTTGTTTTTGTGTTTTCACAGATCTTTGGTGATGACCTTCAAGAGCTTCGAGCTTTATCATTCTATGGGAACAGTTTGTAAAGACAAACACCTGCAAAGAGTAAAACTCGAGCTTCAGATAGAGATGGAACTTCACACTTGATCAAGATGGTTCTTTCAGCACAACACAGAAACGAAAAACAGAATATGTTTAGAGTAATTGCTAAAACATTCATAATAAAAAGATGAATCTAGTATGGCTAGGAGTGTATATAATCTTACTCCTGTACATTTCACTATAATGAGAATGTTGATTTGCTTTGTCAGATAACTTAACTTTTTAGACTGAAGTCTGAGACACATTGCCCTAACAGATTCTGGTATGCAGTATGATAGGAGAGACATGTTCTTTAATGGACATGTGCAAGAGAAAAGAATGGCCTGATCATCCAAACTTGATACTTTGATCATGATTGTGAATGTTTGCTAGCATTTAATCAATATATGTAATTAAATGTTTTCATATAAATAGGAAGGGGGGGCTGAAGAATCTAACTAAGGACCTGAAAATCCTTATTGAAAACTTGTGTGCGTCTTGTTTTAAGAAAGCAACCATTCATTTGTGTTATGTTTTATTTTCATTTGTTAATATTCATTTAATCATTTAATTTAAATTGATAATAAGTCATTTACATAATTATCATTATATCATTTTATTTATCATTAGTCAATAACGAAATTATTATTGAATATTATTTGACATTTTATTGTGTTTTTATGTTTTATTACTATTTCCCATAAGTATTACTTTATAATATATTATTTATTGTTATACTTTTATGCCTGTGTGGTTTCAAGCGACAGTTGTCTTCACGAGTAAGAGATACACTCAAAACAATTTTTTGTTGCTTGTTAAAAGTACTAATTGAAAATGGGCTGAAACAACACAATTCTTGAGATTTCGTTGGGACACCAATTCTTTTATGTTTAATCAACTTTATTAAATGTATAAAAACTAATAAGTAACTTAACAAGTTCAGTCCTATCATCAGTCAAAAATTTGGGGTTGATATTTGTAAAGACTACTGTTGGTTTGTAATGCATTACTAGGTGATTGCCTTCTAGGCCTAATTAACGAACTACAGCCGGTTCAAAATGGACCTTCTAGAGTCCATACTAGAACTAAGAAATATATTGGTCCTTTTCTATCAACAGTGATTTGATCCTATTATTTGAGTGAGCTCCTGCTCCATTAAAGCCCTCACATCCACTCCACTCAATTAATTCTAGATAATTGATTATTCCTAGAATATCAAAATGAACAGCTTTCCTAACATAGTTTGCGAGGCAGACACACTCTGTCATATTCAGTATAGACTAAAGAAACATCTTTTTGTATTAGCATACACAAATTTATAACTTTGAAAGCCCAGTGCGGGCCAGGCCAATCACCAATCACTTTATTTAAGGATGTTGCGTATTCAGTCTAGCCTATATTTCGTTGCGCTCTGCAGCTTTTCACTTATAAAGCGCTTCAATTTTACCACATCACACACAACACATTTTGTATTTGCAGTTTTAGCCGATGCGTTTGTAAAGCAGCAATGCGCAGGACAGGATGACACAAAAAAGCAGAGCAATAGCTTTTGTTTGTTTTATATTGGTTTATTTATTTAATGTGATTTTATTATATCCGATATTTGTAATTCTTTAATTCTGTTATTAATTCCATCTAGATTAGGCTATTTTATCAAGATATGACACTTTTGTTGAGTCTACAAAAGTGGACACATGTTTTTTAAGTTTTATGTCTTTCTGTTGTATTTATATTGTGTATTAACTCCAAAATAAATTTTTAAAAAGCCGCTCACGGCATCAACAGAGCTGTGAAGGGAGCGCTCTTTTGCTCGGTCTCAAGTTCACATACAGGCATCTAAACGCACACAAACACACCTTTTAAACTTGACAAAAACTCTTAATAACCTTTACTGGCTGCTGTGTCTTTAATATGGTGTAAATATTATTATGAGTTATTAAAACATCAAGGAGTAGGCTACGCAGCAATAAAAAAAACACTATAAAATAAAACGTTATTATTTTATGCAACAGCCTTACATTTAAAAGGGTAACATAAGGGCGATCATGTGCAAAAAGACCCCAGTCTTTAAGGCTAGATGTTTCCTTTCCCTTATTTATTTATTTGTTAGGCGCATGTACTCGTGTGCAATCGGAAAACTGTGTCCGCCTCACCTTTCACTCCACCCCGAAGCCCCAGCTGGCGCTCCTCTTTGGCCCAAGGTATTTAAAAGGCCTACAAAGGCTGGCCGCTGTCCCCGAGAAAGCCCACTTTGGCATGATTAGGCCCCGTAAGTGATAGTGGACTGGCCTTGGCTCGACCTGGCTCATTTTAGGCGCGATAGTGGAAACGCGGCTATTGATACGATTGGTTAGTCTGAACACCTGCCCTAAAACCAAATTGAAACTGCATCTTCCCAAGATGGAGAATGGCATCTTTCTTAAAGCTCCAACATCCAGATTGCAGCTTTCCATCACTTTTGGCTAGAGAAGAACTGGTTGTGCCCAGCTAAGCCTAGAATTATTTTGAGTTTTTTTCTCTTAATTTCTGTCAAGTTTGATTCTTTGCCACTGCTTGGTTGAGAAGTACATTATACTAACCACTCATTTCCTTATTTTTCTACAAGAAATACAACATCAAAAGTACATGCTGCTTGCAAATCATTGTGGAAAAAATGTCAGGACATCCCAAAACTTGTTGCCCCAAAAGTTCCTTCATTCTCCTAAAGATTAAAGCATATTCTTTGACCCTACAAATTGGTTTAGAAATACTGTAGGTAGGTATTTACCTAAGACCAGGTTGGCATTCTGTGCAGATATTTGCTGAGAGACAGTTCTTGCAGTTGCTGCTGCATTTTCGGCACATGATGGATTCTGTTAAAAAAACAAAACACGCACGCACGCACGCACACGCACAAATTAGGTTTCAAATTCAAAAACTCATGTTCTGTTAATAATCATGATAGATTTTGGAGTGAGAAAAAAAATCTTAGTTCACTTGCCCAGATCCAAGTAGAAGCCATCAGGACAAGAGCTGATGCAGTTATTGCCTCCCTCCACAAGATAGAGACCTGGACGGCAGGTGGAACACTGATCACTGCGGCTGCCAATGCAAGACTCGCACAGTGGAAAGCACTTCTTACAGCGCTTCTTATCATCCCGGAAAAACCCAGGTGGGCACTCAGGTACACACATCCTGATTGACAAACAGACATCCACATAAAAAAAACAAACCAAAAAAAAAACGCAGGAAATGAAGCCATAATCATGACGCATACACATAAAGACTAGATAGTTAACAGGAAAACACGGACAAATTTTGTCATGTTGTCATATACTTTGGTATGTAATACTTATTGTGTTTATTATATTAGAGTTAAACTTCTGATAAAGTAACTTTATATTTCAAATTTATATTTTAAGCATACCAATATGATATAATATTAATATCAATGTCCTGTTTGTAATGTATTTGGTATTTTATGTGTTTTGTGCACTTCTAGATGTTGAATATATTATATATAACATTGCCCGTTTTGCATTTAACATATAATTGTGTGTGTAATTTCACAGAAATAACATGCTTTTATATAAAAAAAAAAATAAATATTATTCACATGTGATGATGTTATAAAAACTGTATACCTGGTATTGTTCTTGAACTTGAGGAAGTAGTGGAGGCAGGTAATGCACTGCTGAGGGCCTGGCCCCTCACAGCCATTCTCACCGCACTCAGGGTGGCAGGTGCCTTTTGTCACAGGACAAAATCTCATAACATTTAAAGGGGTAGTTCACACAAAAATGACAATTTACTCTTCCGCAAGTGGTTCTAATCCTGAAAGTTTCTTAATTCTGTTAAATATTAAATAAGATATTTTGAGGAAGAAACTTTGACCAATTCCTTCCATAGTAGGAAAAAAAACTAAGTCTGTGTAAGTCAATGGTTACAGGTTTCTGAAAGTTTTTAAAATATCTTCTTTTGTGTTTAAAAGAAGAAAGAAAATCATAAAACAAATTGAAATAAATATAGGTGAGTATATGATGATAGAACTTTCTTTTTTTGTTGAGTAAATTAATCATTAAATGATTCTGCAGATAGTCAAATGTATGATATAAAAAGAGTATAATAGGGTACATACCCACATATTCCTCACTGTACTCATCATCGGGCTGAGACTCTGCCAATGAGCGAGGCTTGTCACTACGGAATGAGTATGGATGTGTTGAGGTACCATAAAGAACCAGTGACCACTCTTTTAGTTTGCCTGGAACAAAACACATTACTGAAATTAGAGTTGTTTTATGTTTTGGCTTATCAAAATACTAAAAGTATTATTTTTTTTTTGCAGATTTCTAAAAACATGCTAATTGATCATACTTTTTTTGCTGAAAAACAATGCTAAATTCAGTTCTTCTTTTAAAATGGAAAGTGTGATTTCGTGTCAGAATGTCTGTCTTTGTTTTGGTCTCTATAACCTGCCCACTGGCAGTTTACCCAATTATATTTCAGCACCCAGAGTTGCTGTCATATTATCTAAAAAAACTAAAAAAGAATGTTATTTTTCTTTTTATTTCAGCAGCACAGTGTTTTTCAACCGTCTCTGTAACTTTAATGATACATGCTGCACATGATATAAATCAGAATGTTATGTGCTATGCGATAGTCATTCGTTTTCTTTAGTCTTTCTCTTCCAAAGCAATGTCTCTTACTATGTCTTATTGTACAACATTAGACGTGTATCCATTGCCATTTTGCAACACTATTTAAACCATCAAGTTAACTTTGTTTATTTCTACCTATTGTTTAAAAATTCAGTAATGCCTAGCTTGTAGCAGCCTGGTTACCTCAGGCCTTATTGCATATGATGACCAACCAATGAACTTATGAGCTTGGAACACAATGTTCCAGAAAGCCAATCTAGACATGTCTGCTGCTGGAGAACTCGACCTTCTCACTAGGTATCTAGGACAAGAGTCAGTAGAACAAGAACGAATAATTATAAATATCAACATAAAGGAATCCAGTAACTGGACTGTGCTTGACATGGTAATGCCTCAACAAAATATATGGCTCACCAGAGGCTGTCAAACAGACCTTATTAAACAAGCTGGAAAACCTTACAAAGATTACGATGAAAGATTCACAAAGACTCAGAAATCTAGCCAACCTGCTATCTGAGTTTGCCAAAGAGGACAAACAGGACAGCTACCTTGCCGACATGCCATATTTAAACACCTCCCAAGGTATCAGGCCTATTTTTGAAAATTTCAATTCAAATTGCAAGAGAAGTGGCTTTATTAGCTTTCCAACTTTCTTAGTGTTGGTAAACTTTATCACCATAGAGACACAAGCTTGCACCAACCTAAGTTTTAACTTCTTTGTTCAAGCTGACATAGAGAGGAGGAAAAGGGAGAAGCATAATATATCATTATACATTTAAAAGATACAGGTCCCAGGAACCACTAAAGTAGAGTACGGAGAAATTACAGAATGTATTGATCATAACAAAAACTTCCCTTTGCATATGAAACCACACCATCTGAGGAAATATAGAGACTTAAATGAGAATACCATAAATGATCTCAAACAGCTTTTGAAAGAAAATTACATCTGCTTCTACTATTGCTACTCCAAAGACCATCTTGCAAAGAACTACACCACTGAGATAAAATTCACAGTGTTGAAGTGCCTCTTATGTTACAGCACTGCACCCTTATCCATCCAACCTGGAAGTCTAATGTGTTCCCTTCCACCTCAGAGGACGGCAAGGAGGAAGATAAAGGTGAAATCTAGGAGTTCAAGTTGTTGTGCACTGAAGTATGTGGTCAAGGATTGAGTGCCAGAAAAAATACTAATATCTTCCTTGTCAGTGTGTTCCCTAGCAGCTGCAAGGCTTAGTCCAAGACAATGCATGTCATTTTATGTTGCTCCTTAGTGAGGTCTGGAAATTCTTACTCATAAACCCTTAAGACTGGGTGTTAAGAGACAGCATATTAAATGTTAAAACCATTCTGTCACCAGTCTTGCTGTGCGTATTGATTAATTATCATTCTGAAAGTCGACACCACCTTCAGGATACAATATTTGAACCATTGGGTGCACATGGTCCTCCAGAATGGTTTGGTGTTCTTGGCAGTGATGCATCCATCTAGCACAAGGATTGGGCCTATGGAATGCCATTTTTTCAACGTCAATGAGCTTTTCCCAGCCAGCAGAGAGGTCAGAATAAGCAATAATGCAAACTCAGTCAGAGACATACATCTTAACTTGCAACTTGCTTTAACATGTTTAAAACTTTGCATTCATGCAGCTTGTTTGGCCCCAGAAAAGACAATTTGCTGGTAATGTTACAACTTCTCTTTGGCATAATGTACTTAAAAAATGAACATGTTAACAAATTATCTCTTTCTAGAAAATTGCTAAAAAATATGTATGTGTGAAAAGGGCTCATGTGTGCACTTTGACTACTTTGCCAACTGGCTTAAATCCAGTGAACTAGACCTTGTGTGTGCCTTGGCTACTATGTATTATATTATTATGCAACATAACATACAGCAATATGTAACATACAGGTGGCTAAAGACTAGTACTACTGTACACAGTACAGCACAAACTGGGCAAAATAATATGTTAGAAATGTTTACGTACAGGACTGTGTTTTTGAGATAAAACATTTGTGAGTAATTAGTGAAATACTGACATTAAGTCACTGAAATAACTCCATGAAAACACTGAATATTTGTTTACAAAATTTTCGAAAACTGGATTTTGTAGTCTATAGTTTTTGCTTCAAAATTATGTAAAAATTATATTTTTTAATGTGCTTACAGAAAACATTAGACTGATTTAAATGTTCTGTTAACTGTTTACCATATTACAACACTGTTGTAATAAGATTTTAAGACATTTTATTTATATTTTTGCAGAAAACAGAAATGACAGCTTTAGTAAGCTCTTTTCAAACTGTTGACTGGTTGACTCACATATGGTAAAATAAATAAATAAATAAATAAATAAATAAATAAATAAATAAATAAATAACGTGTCACTTTCTAAATAAAGCAGCATCCGATCATAATGGTCAAATGGCAATTTATTGCGGATAATAAAAATGAAACAATCTCTTCTACTAGCAGCACTGTTTGTGTTTGTGGGCGTTTACAAGTGGACATTGTCATCATTTGCATGTGAATGCCAGAGGTGGTAACTGATTAGTGGATAAAGGGGGTATTGAGCTTTCCCAGCATTGTGTTCTTTCCATACGGATTACCAAGCAAGACAATATTTGTTCTCAAAAAGCTTTGAAATGTCACATCCGAGGCTTTATGCAGGTATGTCACTCATGTATCTAAGACAAATATTCAAATATATTCAGTAGTTTTTTCTGATGCATTTGCCAGTCATGTTGACAGAGCTGTCGGAAAGAGAAAGCATCCCCTGCCTGTTTTGCTAATTTTACAAAAACAATGTTTTTTTGTAATTATGAATATATACAAGTAAAAATACAGTTTTCAAAACTGTGTTTGTCCTATCAATACGATTAAAAATTACAAAGTATTTTATGACATAATCTGTGGAAATGCATGTACGTGTTTGCTGACCCCAGGGAGATAACACTAGTGTACAATACTATGTGTAAAACTTGGCTACTTTGCTGAGCAGCTTAACTCTAGTGAAGTAGATAGTGTGAGCCTAGGCTACCTTACCAAGCAACTTAAAACATTTAAACAGCACACTATGGGCTCTATTTCGACAATCCATGTGCAAAGTCTAAAGCGCAGGGCGCAAAATCATTAAGGGTGTGTCAGAATCCACTTTTGCTATTTTAAGGATGGAAAAATCTGCTTTGCGCCATGGTGCATGGTCTAACAGGGTCGAGCTTATTCTCTTAAAGGGCACATATTGTAAAAAATCTTCTTTAAGCTGTTTGGACAGACGTGTGTAAGTATAGAGTACAGACCGTCATATTGGGGTGATATAAACACACATAGTTCTTTTTTTTTCAATTTACCAACCTGTGTCACAGTCACCGTTCCAGTCAAAGTTAATTCAATGTGTGTGGTTATTAGTCTCGGTGTACAAGCTCGGCACTTGTACACCGAACCTATACAAAGACACAAATGATTTTGTACTCTCTGCTTGGTCTGTGTCCGAGTCATAAATGACCGGCTAAATGCTGATCATAGCTTCTCTCTCTCTGTTGGCCTGTCTGTTGCAAACACAGAGTGTGGGATCTCTTGGCTCCACCCCCTTGTTACTTTGGGCAGGAAGCCGAAACTAATTTTCATGAGAAGCAACACGCCCCTAAAACATCTTTACAAGCCCCCAACCTGACACCTTTTAACACATTATAATAAAAACATCTGAACTGTGTGCTGAACTGAATCTTAACTGGCACACTCAGAAGAACCATAATATTAATATTAAATCATAAAAAAGGGGTAAACTATGTGCCCTTTAATGAGTTATAGGAGTGTTTTGAGAATAAACCAATCAGAGTCTCATCTCCCATTCCCTTTAAGAGTCAGTTGCGTCGCACAATAGCACATTTACTATTTACATGGCGAACTTTGTAAAGTTAAACAAAGCATCTACAGCACGAGAATGAGAGATTGAGCCTCCTCATTCTTTACTTTCACTCTCGTGGATAGGGAAACGTGTTGTACACAGACATTCATTAGCCTACATAATTAATTTAGTTTTGAAAGCACAAAGATTTGTTTCAAAATTATTATATCCAAATACACATGCTATGCCCCATATGGTTTATATATGCATATAATACAATAATACTACTAATAATAACATTATACAAAAGCAAATTTTCATGAATAAACTGAAAAAGTCCCTCGAGAAGAAGGCATGAAAGTATGGTTTTTATATTTATGTAGGCTAGAAAATAACAATTTTTATAATATTTTAAATCCTTTAATTCTTTTTCATTTGTAAAGATATTTGCGTATTGCTGTACACCCTGTATGTATTAAACAATATGTAAACGAGGCACACAAACAACGCCGCTCTGCGCTGGACTATAGACCTGCTTTGATCTGGTCTATTGAACAGTCTATTTTAGTTCCTCAAAATAGCAACATGCCAGCAATGCGCCTTAACGCACCTCCTTTTTTAGACCAGAACTTCTATGGGCGCACATATGAGCGCAAATGCATTTGATATTTAACCCCTTCAGACCCTGCGTCCATTACAATGGACATCACATTACATCCCATTTTTCTGAAATTTGGTACATAATTCAGGTCTGAAGGGGTTAAACAGCGTGGTGCAAAACGTCAAAATGACTCTTGCGCCAAGCTAAAACTAGCAAACAACAATTGTGTCGTGCCTTGCGCGGGTGTTTGATAGGGCCCTATATGTGTCTTTTTATGAAATATAATGTAGTAGACTCATAGAAATAAATAATAAACAAAGCAACACCCATGAGCAAGTATTAATGAAATCTAGCATTATATCACTGCCATAATAAATATCTAATTCATAGTGTGAACGTGAAATAGTCTGCGGTTAATTCCGCTGTGGTGACCCCTGATAAGCAAGGGACTAAGCCAAAGAAAAACAAATTAATAATTATTACTATTTATTTTTAGTTAGATTGGCAGTGTGCAAATCTTTATAAAAAATTACCTGTTCACAACTTATTTTATTGGTTTTAGTTAGGAAAGTAACATAAGTTAACCCATATCACCATCTGTTGTATTGGTGTAAAAGAAATCTGCCGAAATGCAGTTGTGAGAAAATCTTCCTCAATCCATTTGTAAGAAAATCCACCTGGACGCATTTGTAAGAAAAACCACATGTATGCTTTTATGAAAACATCTGCCTGGCTTTTTTGTGAGAAACCTACAGGTATGCAGCTATATGAACTAGATTTGCTGTTTGTGCAAGGGTTACATGCAGTTGCATGCATAAACGATTTATTTGTGAAATATGATTTATATTTTTTAAACTCAACATGTTTATTTGTTAACAACACTGGGTTTTTGTTTGCAAAATACTCCATTTGTTTGTGAAATAGGTAACACTTTACAATAAGGTTCATTAATTAATGCATTTACTAACATAAACTAATCATGAACAACACTTGTACAGCATTTATTAATCATAATTGAACATTTACTAATGCATTATTAACAATCAAGTCCATGCTTGTTAACATTAGTTAATGCACCATGAGTTAACATGAACTAACAATGAACAACTTAATTTTCATTAACTAATGTCTATCATCATGTATAAATACTGTAGTAAATGTATTGTTCATAGTTTGTTCATGTTAGTAAATGCATTACTTAACATTAACAAATGAACCTTATTGTAAAGTGTGACTGTAAAATATTTGTAAAAAAAATTCCATTGGAATCACACATTGAACAAAGCTGCGAATTTCATAGCACTTTAGGAAGTCTTTAAAATATGTTTACGTGTTAAAAGTGTCATAGCACACAACTTATATATTCATATATTTATAAAACTTCACCTCTAGGTAAAACTGTTGATCTGAAATGTAAAGATTGAATAATAGATAGTATGTTTGGTAGGAGAAATTACCTGGTGCTTTCTGGCTCCTGAGCTGTGAAGGAGAGTCATAGATCTCTAATATCCAGTCTCCAGCCGCTTTCTCGCCCCAGCAGTGGGTTGTCATGAATTCCCAGTTTTTGAAGCCTTCCATTGAGTGATCAAACAGCCTGCAAAAACAATAAACAGACGTGGCTGACTTGTCAGCTTATTTGCCAAACTGTCTTTTCCACCTGTTTTGCTATTAACTCCCCTCTCAGTATTAATGGCTGTTTTTTTAAAAAACAGTCAGACCAAATTTAAATGTAGTGTACAGCAGTTTCAATTGAACATTAAAATATTTAGTTCTGTAAAAAAATAATGTGTGTGTTCCCATTTTGTATTGTGTTCAACCCACTCAGCGTCATTTTATTGTAATTATATCAACACAACATTGAATACATATACATAGACACCAATATTCACATTTTAATGGGGACACATTTTAATAATAAGGACTCCATTAATAATTAATTAATACTCCATTTAAGAGTCTACCATGTAAAGAGTCTACCATGTAAATAGCAATTTTTAATTAATTTAATCAGACTAAAGTCATAATCAAACTAAACAGAAATTGAACTGAGACATGTAAAGTGTGCTGACTTTGTGGATAGCGTGGTGACGCAATAATGTTAATCGAATTTTGTGCTATAACATGTAAAATGGCATCATAAAAGGAACATTCAAAAAACAACTCATGTAAACATCAATTATCATACAGGCAAGTGATTCAATTACTGATGTCAACATAGTCATTGTTTGCAAAGACGTAGTCTAATGTTTTTTTTTTTTTTTTCCATTTCAGCCTAAGTTATGTCAAACGTTGTCTATTGTAGTAAAAGATTAATGATGTATATTACTACATATTGTATCATAACATTTTTATTCCAAAAGCTCTTCATAAATGAGGCCGGTAAAAACTGCATTACAACATTCTGTGATGTTTTGTTATGGAAAATGACCCATAGAACAGGCACCATATTTCTAACTGTATGAGCTGACTATTGTGACTATCAAAAATGTAATAAAGGGCACCTATGGTAAAAATTCTACTTTTCAAGCAGTTTGGACAGACATGTGTGTAGGTTTAGTGTATAGACTGTCATATTGAGTTGATATAAACACACCCAGTCCTTTTTGTTCAATTTAACAACATAAAAACAGTGGACCAAGTGGAGCGGTTTTGAGACAGACCGCAACATGAAGAAGGAGTGCGGTCCACCCGCCCAAAAATATTGTCAGGCCCATATTACCACATTCTCAGTTTGTGATTTTACGTCCGCCATTTTCAGCGTGAATCATGTCACCAAAGAAACACCCTTGCTCTATTTTGGGATGTAAGGCTCATTGGGCTCAACACAAGAGCTTTCATCTTCTTCCTGCAAATGAACAACATAGATTTTACATTTAGCAGCCACTTGCACTGAATGTGCTGTGAATGCAACATATGAAGATTCGGACCAATAAAAAAAGCTGATCCACCGAGTCCTTTAGCACTCTCTCTATAAACACTCGACTGATCTCAGCTGGCAGATCAACATTCACCATATGATCGCTCTTATCGGCGCCATGGTTTTTAACTTTAGGTGGGTTTGCAAAAATGTGTACTTTTTATAATTGCATCTTTCTTAAACTTCAACCATTTGCATTTCTCGCGGTCACCGAAACTCCCTGTCATCTCAAGTAGGTGCGGCTGGAAAATGTGTGTGCGTTGCCTCGCATGCGCATCTCTCCATTGGAAATAACCAACTTGCCTTAGTTATAGCCTCAGTTAAAGTTAATCCAATGTGCTTGGTTATTAGTCTCGGTGTACAAGCTCGGAACTTCAAACTAACACACAGTTGGCATAAGTTTGTTTAGTTGCTGAAGTTTTGTTCCGTGAGAAACCTTTTTGATTAATTAACCGTGATGAATTAAAATGGCGTTATTAGTGAAACCTGTTAATCAATACATCCCTATTTGGATGATGCATGCATCATTACATAGCGGTTGTAAAACTATACAAAGACACAAACGATTTTATAACTGCTACTCTGACACATTAGGAATATTGATTCCTCAACAGGAGTCTCTGCTTGGTCTTTATACGAGTTGTACATGTACGGCTGAATCCTGATCCTCTCACTATTGCTTCTCTGTGTCTGCCTGTTTGTTACCATGCACAAAGCAGGGGAGCTCTTGGCTTTGCGCTCTGTTAAGTTGGACGGGAAATCGAAAGAACAACCCTAAAATAATATTGTATATTTTAAAAAGTGGTAAACTTTTTGCCCTTTAAACAATAATAATCCATATTTATAATAATAATAATGATTATTATACTTAATGTTCTAAAAAAGAAAAGCAAAGGGCCAGATTAAACTATTCTCTAACAAGATCTTGCTTTAAAGTGCATGCAGAAAGTATTCACAGAACTTTTTCGACATTTTACAGCCTTATTCCAAAATGGATTAAATTTATTTATTTTCTCAAAACTCAACACACAATACCCCATAATGAAAATGAGAAAAAAAGTTTTTTTTAAATAGTTGCAAAAAAAAAAAAAAAAAAAAAAAAAAATCACAAGTACATAAGTATTCACAGCTTTTGCCGTCAAGCTCTAAATTGAGCTCGGCTACATTCTGTTTCCACTGATCATTTTTGAGATGTTTTAGTAGTTTAATTGGAGTTCACCTATTGTAAATTCAGTTGACTGGATAGGATTAAAAAAAAATGTATACGCCTGTCTATAAAAGGTCCCAGGGTCGACAGTCCATGTCAAAGCACAAACTAAGCATGAAGACAAAGGTATTGTCTGCAGACCTCCGAGACAGGATTTTCTCGAGGCAAAAGGCTGCGGAAGGTTACAGAAAAATTGCTGCTGCTCTAAAAAGTTCCAATGAGCACAGTGGCCTCCATCATCCATAAGTGGAATGCTTGGACCCACCACACCACAAGTCACATCTTTTTTTTTTTTTTTTCAAAATTTCTCAAAAAAAGAGCATGTTCAGGTCTAGATAAACTATCATTTTAATGAAATCCTGCATTTCAACATTGATATCTTAACACTGCATCAGAAAATGTAATGCAGAGATTTGCTAATAATAATTTATCTAGACCTCAATGTGCTCCTTTTTTGAGAATCTTCGAAAAAAAAAGTTATGACAGGCCCATTAGTCAACGCACACATGAACTAAAAACGGGTATGTTCTGTGGGTCTTATTTCCATAACACAGCTTCAGAAGATATTGTAATGCAGGATTTTGTAAAAAAAAAAGAATATATGGGGGTGCTACTGAGCAAGCAATGAAGTAGCGTGCAAGTTGGGTGAGCTCTGCACAAAACTTTATATAATTCATTAATTTAAGGCACAAATGGTAAGAAATCTACACAAATGTAAGTACACTATCAAAACCTAGTGGATACTAACAAAGTGGATGCTAACACATCTAGCATGATGAGCTAGACTTTTGCTCTTAATTTTTTTTATTCTAAATTTTACTTTAAACATTCTGCACACTCAAATACACATTTTGAAGATCAACACTAAACCTACAAACTTTCTGGAATTGAACAACCTCCCCCTACCAGCAGCTTACATTAATGAAACAGGAAAACACAGATGGCTGTAAAATGCCCCTGGTTCGAATTGATTCAGAATTTCCCTACTGCACAAACAGTAGAAGTTATTGGTGATCTGACCAGAAATCTACTTGAGCTACTGTTTTGAGCACAGAAAAACAAGGAAACTGCTGCAAATGAGCATGAGGTGTGAGACCAAAAGTTACTCAAAAGTTACAGTGGGGTCAGATCACAAAGATCATACACTGCTGCATTAGCATCCTCTACTACAAAAACAGCTTAACCTCAAGTACAGTTTCAAAACAGATATAAAGCATTGAGTAATAAAGGTGAAGAATCCCCAAATGCAGTCCGACGGATCACATAATTCATCAGCTAATTCTGCATTAAACAGGAGGTTAGGGCCAAGCAGACATCGGTATACTGCGCAGCTGACATAAGAACTGACTTTTGGAAATTTAATAATAAGGAACTTTAGGAGCAGGGCTTCAAGAACATGCGGCTTCCCTCTGTAACAGTGCGAGGTAAACAAAGAACCTGAGAAATTTTTACAGAAGCACGAGACTGCAAAATTGATTATCATCAGAACTGCTGAAGAGGGACTTTTTGTGAAATCTTGGAAACAGTCAGTATACTGAAGATGCATATGTTTTCAATGTTTCTTTTTTTGTCTCTCGGGCAAAGGCGGCGCACTTTTCTTCCTCTCCGTCCCTTATCTTTCCTGGCTGGCTCCTCTTGTCTCGTCTAATTCTGTCTCTGAGGCTCTCCGTGCCCTGCTATCCAAATGAATAAGGAATTATGGATTTGATCAACTGGTCTCTGAACGCAATCTACACCATTTTCTCGACGAGAAGTTTGGGCTCGGGACAGCCCACTTGTCCTGTCGGGATGTTTGCAGCTGGATACGTGATGGACAGGTGGGAGAAGTGGTGCCTGGAGTGCCTGGCTGCTCTGTCCTTGGAGGATATTGAAGATATCTATCTTTCCGGAACTTTGATAACAGGGTTTCAGCTAATGGGCTTATGCGGGGCCCTGGGATATCGACGATTGATGAAAGCGGTCAGTGCTGCTCAAAACCCCACCAAGCTGGCCTGCTAGATTGAAACAGTGGTGAGCAGGGTTGCTACTAATCGCTCTTTAGTTGTAGGACCGGATGGCTGCCCGCCCTCATTGTACTATATCCACATCCCCTGTTCCCATCCCCTGTTGCATTGTTATGTCTATGTCTATGTGTTTATGTGCTTGACTACAGGGGCTTTTTCTCCCTGATCTCATACTGATCTAATTCAAGAGCAAATTTTTTTCTCTCGCCTCCCTCTCCTGAAAATGTATCTTACTTCCTTTTTCGAAATGCTACCTCCAGTCTTTTCCTGAAATGTGATGTTTGTTTATGGTGGTCGGGGCAATGTATGCGGAAGTATATGTGACAAATAAAGGCTTTTAATTAAAGCATGGCTGCAGACAACATGGAACAGGAGAGGACTGCATTTTATTGACAACTTCAATCTCTTCTGGAATCAAAGACAACTGTTTACATCAGATGTAATCCATACAAACAGACTTGTTGCAAAAGTGCTTAAGGACAATATATATAGTAGTCAAAAATTCAAGTGGATTAAAAAAGGTTATCAAATGGTCCTAGGACAAGAATGGGTTCAATAGTTTTAGGACAACTTTTTTTTTTTTTTGATCTACTTCAGTTGTTGACTACTATAGTTTAAATGACCCACAGCTTTATTTTAGCTCCTAAGTGGACTTGTGGCTTACACATCCTACAAGGACAGCGATAACACCACGCAGCCACAGCAACCTCTGCCTTGCACGCTGAGCTCAGATAGACTGTAAAATATCAGAACAGTTTCAAGAGTCAGCACTCAATGAATGAGGAAAACAGGCAGGATACTATATTTCAGCAGCCAGTAACTCCAGAACCACAGCCTCTGTCACCAGACAGCTCTCCATTTCATCCGGCTCTCCCCTTTTGAGCTTCTCAAAAAAAATAGAGGATTGCTACAAGCCTCCAGTTAACAACCAAAAAACGCCAAGCTCTACAACCACCTCTGTGCCCACCTGACGTGTGTTGGGTGTCTGATTAGATGACAGTATCTTCATCAAATGTCTACAGAACAAGCGAGAACCCAGCGTGCCTGTCGCTTTTTTTGAGAAGGCCTCTTCAGGTCATGTAGCAATTTTACAAGTGTAAGCAAGTGTCAATTGGTCAAAATTTGTCCTTTGAATAACTGAGTATAGCACTAAAGGGTGCTCCAGAATCATACAAGTCGGGCCGATGTCAGACAGGCTGAACCACAACTTAAGATAATATATCTGATTTCTTGGAAGATTTTTGAAGGTTAAATGCTAATAATGTGAGTTTAAATGCTATTTCACATGACATTTATTGTGGTACTACTAAAAGCAGCAGCAGAAAGTTCACCTTAGATCTTGAAAATAAAATAAACATTATAAAGAGAGCTCAAAACCAACACATATCAGTGATTCAGCATCTACATTTAATAATGTTAAAGAGGTTTATGTATTAACTAGATCAGGGATTCTCAACCGGTGGGCCGCGGCCTGCTAGTGGGCCTCAGCGATCCTGCTGGTGGGCCGCGAAATACCTTAAAATTAACTCTCAATATTAAGGGTGTCACGAGATCTCGCGAGAGATTAAATCGCGACGAGATTTCTCGTCGAGGTGAAAAGTTCTTTTGTGAGTTGAGATGGTAGCATGATGGAGGGTCAGGGTGAAATCAGCATTGAAGATTGAAAGCAGAATTTAATTTGAACCGCAAATCAAGTGCTTGCATACACCTGGTAAGGCTGGCCTCCGTCATGCACATGTCACTGGGTTAGGCAGCAGGTGTGACGTAACCCCTTTTTTTTCTCACCGGAGTGAGATGTGGAGAAAGCCGCATTAATGAAATGCAGTACAGTAAACGTCTCAAACAAACTATTATCATCTTGTTGGACTTCTAGCTGCATTTTGCAACAGGACAGTCCACACAGCTGTTTGACACTATATTCTTGGCACCTACACACATATCTAAGCACACACACACATACTGAACTGCTGGAGACTCAAAACACCCACCTTTATCTTTACCAAACACGTTTACGTTTCTTTTCATGGTTCAAGTGACCAAATTCTACACAAGGACTAAAAACGCTTTTATATTGTCATGTAGCAAAAGTATTTTTTGCATGTTCTTGAGAAAGTGTGCAACATCCACAACGTAACCAATATAAAATAATACTGTTGCATATATCACGTGCATTACATTAAGATGCCTACTGGCTTAAAAGGCCTAGATAAAAAGAATGTTCAAATGAGAGCGTTTGTCATGAACTATAGGAAAACAACTTGTCAAAAATAAAATAAAAAAATGAAACCATGTAAACAGAATAAATACAGGAATGGAGAAGAGAGTGCTCTTTTATTATCAGCTGTCAGTCAGCGTCTGCTCTTTTTTTTTTCATTGCGCCTTTTGTCGTGTGTTTTGTAAATGCAGATAATCGGATATGAGTCACCTTTAAAACATGATAAATGTAAGCAGGTCATCAAAAAAAATGGATATTGTCACAAAATCCAAATCGGGAAAAGCCAGTCAATAGAGTTTGCTATTTTCCATTTATAAATTTAAAATATTTTGCAGTGTTTGCATGTTCATATATTCAATATAAACTAGTATAAAACTATTGCATACATAACATTTTGGCAATAATTATGGAAATTGCATACTTAAAAAATGGAAGTACGTTCAAAACAGGTAAAATAAAAACACTTAAATTGTTTTGCATTTTGTGATTTAAAAACATTTTTATATAAAAATCTATTTTCCATCCATACATTAGCAAAATATTTGAAGACTATTCCATTCATATGTTTCATTAAGGATTTCTTTAAAATAGTGTAAAAATATCGTCTATAACAAATCTCGTGTCTGGCCTGTCTCTTGAAGTAGGCATCTTGTCATACCTCTACTTAATATTGTACTATACTTTTAGGATTTCGTATATATATATATATATATATATATATATATATATATATATATATATATATATATATATATGGATATGTATATATATAGTATTATATATATATAGTATTATATACAGGTATAAATTGGTTAATAAATAAAGGTTTAAATGAGCTTTTTATACAAACATTTTAAAGAAAATGTCAGACAAGTGGGCCTTCAAAAATTGATCAAAGAAAGTAGTGGGCCCCGAAGTGAAAATCTTGAGAACCCCTGAACTAGATTATAAACCTTATTATTTTGTAAGTGAGTGCATATTCTATGCTTCTGAATGGCTGCATTTAAATTTCTGTTGGGTTTCGTCTGGTGCAAACAGCCAAACTGTTTATTACTACAAATATCATCCCATAGCATGTTGTGAGGAAACGGGATTACAATGTAATCTGCTCCCCTAATGTTTACATTCGTAATATTTATATAATTTGCTAATTAATAACCTTATGTAGAACTCACATGGTATTTTTTAGATAGCCTAGTTATATATAGTACTTTCGGGTTTTATATAGTGCTTTTGATAAAGCCTGGGCTAAAATGGTACAACATCAGGGTAAGTCTCTGCAAACAATGTTATGTGTATGTTATGCATAACTTTAAAATGACGATGAGTGGCTTGAACACAACACTAAACTGAAACACACACAATAGACTTTTACAGAGCTGTATATTTTAATGTTTGATTGAAACTGCTGTCCGTGCATTTCATTTTGGTCCGAACTGTTCCTTTAAAACATACAGCCAATTGCAATTAGAAGGGGAGGGTTTAACAACCAAACACACACAGGTGGAGTGGATAGGAATAGGAAGTTTGAATCAGCCTTGAAATAAACAGGCTATTATCACAGCACAAATGGCAATCACTGGACAAATATATAAAAAATATCTTTAGCATCACCAATGTAACGCTGAGAATTTTTCAACTAAAATGTTCTCACGAAAGAACTGCAATATGCACTAATTCTTAAAATAGTGGATGGTCTGTATAATGTATAATATACCTGTTAGCAAGTAGCTGTGACTTTGTCCCTGATGGCGAGGTTAGGTTGATGGACAGGTCTCCTCGTCGCGGGTGTGTAATTGTTATACGTACAACAACATGCTCCAGATAAATGACATGATGATTTGCATTATCAGTGCAGCCTGTTGCCTTGTACACGGAACGAACAACATGCTCTGGGCGGATGGTTCTACAGGATGAAAATTGTCTTGTTTGAGAATTTACTACTTAACAATTACTTATACATCTGGTTTTCTTCTGCATGTTAAACAACTATTGCATTATGGGTACCTGATTTGTTTATCTGCATTTTCCACACAAATGTGCTGTAGTGGAACCTGTTTCCAGTGCTCTGCCTCCTTCACCATAGCTTCTGCATCCATCAGCCCAAAGCCATATAGGTGACTGACTGTAAGAATATGTACAACTTAACTGGTCAACAAAAAATAATTTGTGCACAGACTTAGACTTGCTATAAAACTAATTTTACCTTAAATCACGATTAAATTTTCTGGAGAACATCCAGAAGGCTCAAAATACAATAATAAAATCAAATGTCTGAATTTATTTGGGCACATGATGTTATTCAAAAGTGTCATATCCCATCAATTGATTACAATAAATTAAAAGGCTCTTACCATTATAACCAGCTGCATTAGTTTTCCAGTCAGGAGCACTGAGATGGCCAGCACGGGATGTCTTCACTACAATGTGTTGTACATCTCGCCATGTCAGGAAAGGACTGCAACAAAGTGAAAATAAGATATTTAATGAACTTCTGCAACTATATGATCAAACAAAGGAATGAACATCTCCAAACAAGATTTTAAAAATGCCTATTTTCTACACACACTTTTATTATCCAAACATTATTGCTGGCTTCAGCTATTTGCTGCATGCTTATGCTTAAAGAATTCATTCTAATAATTAACAGAAGACACAAACCCCAAAGTATTGTGAGATTTACTAAAGTAAATGCACATGACCATCCATGCTTAAATATCTAACTTTTCGAATAGGTATTCCCTATGTCACAGATACTCCCTATGTCACATGAGATGTGACAAGATCTTGAAGCATTATCATGCTGATAACCTAAGTGTGCAACATATATCCCTTTTGTATGTTCAAGTGCTGGTTCAGAGACAGAGTCTAGTGTAGTTGTAGTCAGCAAAATTTCACAAAATTTAGTTAATTAAATCTACTCTAGATTTAGTTGACTAAAATATATTTGGTTTATTTTAAGTCTAATTTAATTATAGTATTGTATACGTTTATTCAAACAATCTATTCTAACTTTTTAATTAAAATATGGAATCTAGCTTTTTTTAATAAAAGACCAAATGTTAGATATGCAATGTTTATTCATATCATAATTAATATGTGAAATTAAGCATCACCACTCAATCAACATGTAAGAATAGTAATGATAATGCAGGATTTTGCAATTACTTATTAATCTGTTTATTTCCACTGGGTAAATTACTAGTCTTTTGATAAGTTTGTTAAACTTCAAGCAATTAACTCTATGACAGGGCTTAAAATAAGCGTCACAGTCTCTGTTCGGTCGCCTCACTGCTTGTGTTTGGACTCGCAATTTACATCTAAATCATAAAATACTTCCTCATTCGCTAATTTTTTGTCTCTCCTACTTAGGGTGAACAAACCCTTAATACATTTAAACAAACAAAACTACTTTAAAATGTTCTGTCCCTCGAGCATCCGCCTGTTGTTTGTAGCTTTAGCCTGCTAGAGCCGCTGGTCAGCTAAAGCTACCGACCTCTTTCATTCACTCATTTTTTGACTTACTGGCGTTGCTCTTCACCCTGTATATTGTCGCTTGTGTGTCTGTCCTTGTGTGCAGGAAGAAGCATCGATGAAGGCGTTGGAGCAGGAGCTGGAAGCAGTGGAGTCCCAGATTTGCACCCTCCAGGTGAGGCGGACGCGGCTGCGGGAACAACGAGCTTTGCTTGTTGTGCCTAACGCTAAGGCTGCCTCATCATCTAAGGTAAGCGGAAGATACAACCACATCACTCCCTCTACCTCAACCCGTGTGTTTCTCTGTCCAGGTCCAGTGCACCAGGGATGCGGCTCGGCCAGGCGTCGTTCACGCCGACACCCGGCTGCCATGGCACCTGAGTGCAGCCACGTAAGGTGCTTGCCAGGTCCCGGGGCAAGACGTCTCCTCCTCCCGTTTTCGAGATCTCCACGGAGAACTGCTTCTCCCCTCTCCGTGAGACAGGTCCCGATGTGGCCATCATCGGTGACTCGATCGTTTGCCACGTCCACGCCGCCTCCTCCAAAGGTAACAAAGTACGTACTTTCTGCTTTCCTGGTGCACGAGTTAAGAATATTTCTACACAGATTACAACTATCCTGGACGCTGCCGAGAGTCCTGTTGACGTCGTCCTCCACGTGGGGACGAACGACACCGGGCTCCGGCAGTCGGAGATCCTGAAGAAGGACTTCAGGAGCCTGATCGAGACGGTTCGACGCACCTTGCCCGCCACGCAGATCATTGTTTCTGGGCCGCTTCCTACCTACCGCCGAGGAAATGAAAGGTTCAGTAGACTTTTTGCTCTGAATGAATGGCTATTAACATGGTGTAAAGAACAGAAATTGCTCTTTGCTAATAACTGGAATCTTTTCTGGGAGCGTCCTAGGCTTTTCCGTGCTGACGGCCTGCACCGCAGTCGAGCTGGAGCTGAACTCCTGTCGGACAACATCTCCATATTACTTCGCTCCGTCTGACTAGTAGGTAAAAATCCCAAAAATTGATATTATAACCAAATAGACTATTGTTCGCCCTACTTAAACATCAGTAATGCATATCTGGCTAACCCCATAGAGACTGTGTCTGTTCCTCGTATTATTAGATCAAGAAATAAATGTACTGTGTGCTCCAGAAATAATCTATTAGGAATCATACCAGAAAAACCGGTAAAAAGTGAAAATAGGTCACTACTAAGATAAAAATCAGGTCACTAGCACCTAAAGCACTTATCATAAATGAAATAATAACAGATAACAATTTTAATGCACTCTGTCTCACTGAAACCTGGCTGAAACAAAATGGCTATATTAGCCTAAATGAAGCAACTCCTTCAGGATTCTTATATAAACATAAGGCTCGTCAAACTGGTCGTGGTGGTGGAGTTGCATCAATCTTTAGTGATTTCCTTAATGTTATTTAGAGAAACGGACTTATGTTTAGCTCCTTTGAAGTATTAGCGCTTAATGTTCAGCTTCCAGATACTATGCAAAAACCTATGTTATCTCTCGCTTTAATCACCATATATAGACCGCCAAGACCCTATTTCAATTTTCTAAAAGAGTTTTCTGATTTTATTTCTGACTTACTAGTCAAAACTGATAAAATACTAATTGTCGGTGACTTTAACATCCACATCGATGATGCTAACGATACATTAGGGCTCGCATTTATGGATTTACTACACTCGCTTGGGATAAAGCAAAACGTTGTGGGTCCAACTCATCGCTTAAAGCATACATTAGATCTAATTCTGTCTTATGAAATTGAGGTCATTGATGTAAACATTATACCACAAAGTGATGATATTACAGACCACTACCTCTTACTATATAAGCTGTGTTTACCTGAAATTAGCAAACCTGCTCCAATATTTCGCCCTAGTAGAACTATCATTCCGTCAACCAAAGATGAATTTATAAATAACTTACCTGATCTTTCTCTATTTCGTAATGCACCCGCAAACTCAAATGAACTTGATGTAGTAACCAGCAGTATGGATGCCATCTTTACTAGCACACTAAATACTGTGGCACCCATCAAATTAAAAAAGGCTAGAGAGAATAAAACTACACCATGGTATAAATAGTCATACTCGTGTGCTCAAAACAGCAACCCGTGCCCTGGAACGTAAATCGAAAAAAACTAATTTAGAGGTCTTTAGAATTGCGTACAAAGACAGTATGTCCAGCTATAGGAGGGCTCTAAAATCTGCCAGGACCGAGCACCTGCGCAAAATAATCATAACAATCCTAGATTTTTATTTAACACCATCTCTAAATTAGCAAATAATCGGTCATCCTTGGAACATAATGTTCCACCGCAAATTAGTAGTGATGACTTCATGAATTTTTTCAGTGATAAAATATAAGGCTTTAGACAGAAAAAAGGAAATGCGAAACTTTCTTCACCGGCTTATACTTCAAATCCTATAAACATTTCACTGAGTCATAATAATAATAATAATAATAATAATAATAATAACCTACAGTGCTTCAAAATCATAGAACTGGAAGAGCTAGATAAAATTATAAATAGCTCTAAACCAGCTACGTGTATGCTGGACTCGATTCCAACAAAATTACTGAAAGAATCGCAGCCTGCTATAAGAGAACCTCTTCTTAACATTATCAACTCATATCCCATGTCACAAAAACAGCTTTCTTTCATCTGAGAAATATCGCTAAATTATGAAGCATGCTGTCCATCTCAGATGCAGAAAAGCTAGTCTATGCTTTTATGACTTCTAGGCTGGATTACTGTAATGCTCTATTTGCTGGCTGCCCAGCATCCTCTATTAACAAACTTCAATTAGTACAAAATGCAGCAGCCAGAGTTCTTACCAGGTCTAGAAAATATGATCATATCAAAGCAAAGTTGAGTAAGGGAGGTAGAGCCTTCTCCTTTATGGCTCCTAAACTCTGGAATAGCCTACATGATAACATCCGAGGCTCAGACACACTCTCTCAGTTCAAAACTAGATTAAAGACCTATCTGTTTAGTAAAGCATACACGCAATGCATCACTTAGCGGGTTTCCACACAAGTTTCTACATCTTGTTTATATACACTATGAACAGCAGCTACGCTAATTATTCTCTTTATTCTCTACTTCCACCTGGGGATACTCATCCCGAGGTCCTCAGATTATGCGTCACTAATTATGAGTCACTAATTGGTCCCAAGACCAGCAACGAGATGATCCCAAGGTGTCCATATTTGGAACCAGGTCGTATCTTGAGCTGCTGCTGCGCTGTTGGTCATGGGGAAGTGGAGAGTATGAGACTGATTCCAGTGACGCTCCAGGGATAAACGAGTCTTCGCTGAGGCCAGCTTCCAGCCTCCACTGCTGAGACTGCAGCTCTGCACAAGACTTTTGGCAAGCAGAGAAATTAAAATGGTTGTGCCGAACTGAGTCTGGTTCTCTCAAGGTTTTTTTTCTTCACTCTCCTATTGGTGAAGTTTTTTTCCCTCTCCGCTGTCGCCACTGGCTTGCATGGTTCAGGATCGTTCGAGGTTACAGAAGTAACCCTTCGTTCCCCGAGGAGGGGAACGGAAGTGCCATGAATGGGAGGATTCGGATCAGAAGCCGCTTGTCTGGAGAGTATTGAACGGGCCAATGAATGAAATTAATTGGCAGCGTAAGCTTGCGCAGGTGTGCGGCATCTGCAATTATCTCAGCATATAAGCACACCTGAAGCCAGCAGACGCAATCCTTTTAAGCTGAAGAGACTTTCAAACAGCTAAGGGACAGTCATTATGGCGACGGAGTATGGCACTTCCGTTCCCCTCCTCGGGGAATGAAGGGTTACTTCTGTAACCTCGAACGTTCCCCTTCGGTTGGGGAACTTCAGTGCCATGAATGGGAGAAGTATGGAAAGCGCCATAATGACTGCACCTTACCAACACCCCCGATGAGGAGATAGTCAAGCAAGCGTGACGCACCCACATCATGGGGGGCGCGGTCCTCCA